CAACTTCCTAGGTAGTTCCCTGCCGCCCATGACCCTTTCTGTCCTGTCATGCTCCGAACAACGGCTCTTTTGAGGCCCAGAGGGTTGCTTTGGGCTGCTTTCTACTTGTCAGTTGACACAGACACTCATTACTTGCATCCCGACTCCTTGCCGCCTGTCTGCTCCTTTGAATTGTTCCTAGCCTCTCGAGTCTTCTACATCCTCTCCTCTGGCGACTTCTCCTACCAAGCGAGGGGCTCCTTGCCCAGTCCAAGTTGAAACGCTCAGCCACAGCGCCAGCTTCTCCGTTGCGCTAATGCAGGAACAGCATCTCGGAGCCAATCAATGACCAGCGGAAAGGAAACCTCTTGGGAAAGGGCAACCCAAGACGTTGCCTTGGATCCCTGCCATTTCTCCCCCTGTCTCTTGCCTTGCCTTGCCTTGCCAAAAGGAGGGGATTCTTCCCCTCCCCTGCTCCTTCTTCTTACCCCTGCTTGCCCGGGGTCATCCTCTCCACAACTTTTCACTTCCACTTCGTGCCCCTGGCGCCTTGTTCACGGCGTGGTCCTTCCGCCACTCCTTTCCCCCTGGTTCACCACTTCAACATCCATTCACCTCGAGGCTCGACTCCATCACCCCCAACTCTGCAAGGAAAAAGCATCAATCCACATCCAGATGGTCATACACTTGCATTCAAAGTCCACCTCGATCGCATTCCTTCTCCATCCTGCTACCCTGGACCCTTGCTCCCGAAGAAAAATTCTGTCAGCAAGGGCACGCTGGAATCTCGAGAGGCTATGCCCTTCGGAGGAGAGCAAGAACACCTGGGATCCCGGCCCAAATCCTCGAAGCACGCTTTACCCGATCATGACGCGACCTGTCGGCCCTGTTGCCCAAATCCATCGACATTGGTTTTCATCCTGGTCGACGATGCTCAGACCTTCTGGCCAGAAGCTCCACGATAGCTCTTGAGCGTTGTTCCTTCCCTCGCTTTTGCTCCCTGCGCTGCCACGCCGCCTACACTCTTCCGAGAAGAATAGGCTCGCTTCAAATCGTTCGATCTAGGACCCAGTCTGGTCGCCACGCCTATCAAGCGATATTATATCGTGTTGGGTATATTCAATCCCACCGTGTTGCCAAGATATCGCGGCTCGGTCAACCGGCCCAGATCAACCAAAACGAACGGGCCGCTGCTAGTTATCGGGAATGTTTACTCATCCGTCTAAACCTCTATTTGCTTCCGAAAAAGGCCTGCTCGCCAGCTTCATTCTGGCGCATTGTACGGATATCTTTACTAGTTATCGTTATCGCCGTGAGCCTCGTAGACCTGTGAAAGGTCCCTCCTCGCTGTGCGGCTGTGCGGCTGTCTATCCTCGGGTCAACTGCAAAATCACACGTCAATAGACATCACAATGCTTGGCCTTCGACCGGTCCAGAATAACAGGCCAAAGAGTCTTCCATCGTGTCTTGGCCTGATTGCCATCTCAAGAGCTCGTTCCGAGGAAACGGTTTGTTTCACCAAGTCAGCCACCCGAAGCCAACGAAGCCGAATGTGGGCTATCAGTCTACCTCTTTCTGGAAGTTGGACCCAATGATCAGGGCAACGCAACGGCTTATTGCAACCTCAGCGACAACGTAACGCCAGCGGTGGTTTCGCTCTTGATTTACAGCCACAGCTTGTAGGCTACTCGGCGGCTCCCTCAAGCGTGTGGATCGCCAAACTGCAACCTTTTCTCGGTTTAGATTTCGTTTTAGATTTAAGCATCCTTTTCTCTCTTCGGTGGGTGGCCGGACCCATATCGGGCCTAACTAACAGGCCATGCAGTCTGCAATCCATCGAGAAGCGCTGGACAGACCGCGCGGCACTATGTGATGGCTGCGGGATGCCAGGCGCCTTACTGAGACACGGGTTTTCACCGCAACCTGTCGAGTCTTTCGCAAGCAAGCCTTTACCTGAGACAACTCGTCAATGGCTAAAGACAACGTCGCCAACTGTTGAGAGCCAGGCGGCTATGCCCAGATGCAATTACAAGCCCAGTTGTTTGGTCTACAGTGCACTTCATCCAGATCCTTTGCCCGGCGGGTCATGTTTTCCATCATTGTCAAAAGCGTCAACACATACAACTCTAGGTTGCTCTGGCGCCCAATCCATCATCTATTCGCAACCGACTTTACAGAAGAGTGACTGATCCTGCCAGCATGACGTCGGCCTTTTGCCCTATCGAATGCCCACCAGGCCAGAAAGAGCCGAGTCAGCCGGGGGGCTTTGCCTAATCAGGCACGCTCACCTGAATCTGAGAACACGAGCCATGCCAAAAGTCGCCGGCAATACAACCGTCTTTCCCTCGTTTTAGGTCCTCAAGATATCCTCCAATTTCCACTCGCGTATGGCTGAAACAACACTCTTTCTTGCTTCAGAGCTGTCAACTTTTTCGACATCCATATCCGTATTCACAGTCCGGGTGACTGTTTATTTCTGACGAGTAGCCCCAAGACAAATAGTGAGGCTCGAGCGGCATGTCTTGAGCCGATACCGCCTGAGGACCGTGAGCCTAGGCCCGACGGTCTGACCTAACCGGGGGAGATTGGATGACATAACTGACCGCAGTGGTCCCCTAAACTCCGACCGCCCTCACAGACAGCGGCGCCATGGGTATCAAGACCCATCCTTACCGTGGAAAGTGACTCCCGACAGGCGTCCCTGGACATTGCGACCAGCTGTACATCGCTGGAACCTGCGATGGCTCTACTTGAAGATCGGCCAGCACTGCCGTCATCAATCGTCCGAGACCTCCAAAACTCAATACCAAATCTCAAGTATTGAGTTTTCATCTTCCTCCCCAGGCCGGTATCCGAGAAGAGGATGAACACCGTGCCATTCATCTCGTTGCCAACGCTGTGGTCGCTATCGAGATGAAATATTGAAAGTTCAATCAATTATCGACAACTGTATCCGTGAACCGAAGCTTTCGCGGCCTTCTCCAGAACGCACACTATCTGCCCCGTCTTCACCGTCGATCATTGATCCCGCAGATTGGTTCAATACCTGGCTGGACGAAAGAGGAAATCAGACCATCCAAAACGGGGGGTTGCGAGAGAGAACGCAATCACGGCTCGGTCCCGATCATGAGATCGCCTGGTTCCGTTGGCGTGACCTGGAGTCTTGTCTCTAGCCATATGGTTCACTGGGTTTCTTCCCTCTTCTCATTTCCCAAGGCCCGCCTGAGCTTCTATTCTCAGCGACCTCTCTTGTCAAGGTTGCATTTTGTTTCCTCGGCACTTTGAGGATCTTCCAAACAAGACAGTTGGGTGCAAGGGCCGGCCATCTTCGCTTTCGAGCATTGCTGTTCCTCCGGTGCACCTCCGTTGCCGGGCTTGCCTTTGTTCAACAAGGACCGGCGCCCTTTCGCGGCGGACAGTTCACCCCGAAAATTCAGCAGCAACCGCGACTCCGCGATGGATGGCCTGCTGTTCGCTTCCCTTGCTGCCCTGTCACATAACGGAAGACAGGCCAGGTCCGTAACAGGGACCACCCCTTCCGGTTTGCTATGCTCCAACGGGTGTCTTCCACGGTGCAACCCTGACGGTGATGGCTGGGGTCGTCGCTGAAATCCCAAAGAGGAACTCAATGGCCCGACCCCTGCAGCAGGGTTACCAAATCCCCGAGAACCTCCTGTGGACAGCTGTCGAAACTATTCGTGCCAGCGCGGCTCACTTTCAGCCACTGGTTGGTACTCAGTCAACAGCAGCATGCGTTGGGCTGTTGTTCTGCATCCTCCAAGTTTTGAAAGAATGGAGTGTTATAATACCGATTGGGTTCCTCCCATCAAGCACTAGATCAGTTCTTCGTTGCCAAGTTACTCGATATTTCAACGCCACCCTGCGAGGTAAACGGGAGGCAAGGTCAGCGTAACTCCCGCGAAGTCTATCGTCCTGATCCCTCGCGAGTCAAGATCCTGCTCAATAGCCGCGTTTAACACCATCCTCTTTGCCAGTGGCAGTCGAGGCAGTCGGGGGTATCCCATTCATCCCATTCAGCTGATGTCAAGCTCTTGACCACTTCATCCGAACTCTTGCAAAGGGGCGAAGGAAAAAAATCTCCTAGGCCTCCGATCCCTAATTGTTTCGATGCCATACCCCGCCAAACATGCATAATGGACAATCCGAACTCAGCATCGCGTTCTTTATGCGAGCCTTACCGTGACGTATAGGGTGGCTGTGAAGCTGGTTCGTCGAGAGAAGAAAAAAACAAATACCCGGCAGTTCCGCACAAACGCGATGCGGACGGCAAAATGTTGGTCGACTGACGGGTCTTTTCTTCGATCCCCTCCTCTCTGCCTGGTTATCCCCTCCCTCCCGTTGTGGGGAGAGATACGGATATCGAGATGGATATCATGGGTTTGGCAGAGAGACTGAGCGAGTTATGGTAGCGATGGAAGAGCCGGCCAGTGGGGGCGGGGATGGTTCGGTTTCATGACACGAGGCTGAACTGTGTTGGTCGCGGTATCCCTCCTCCTGCTTACCAGCTCTCCCTCTCTCTGGCTCGCTCGCGGCTTCGCTTCGGCAGACAGGGGCATTAATCTAGTTTTTTCTCTTCCTTTCTAGCCTCTAGGTCCTAGCTATAGTACTCTACGGATACGGATACACTACTCTCGCGGGGCTCGAGGAGGTGGCTGTGAAACGGAACGCTGTTTATTTTGCTCTTGCTAGTTTGGCCAAGTGTGATCGCCAACTCGACTATGGCGATCTGCCGTAATGAAGGCGGGTACGGATACCCCGTGCTGCCGGCTTTTCGAGATGCTCATCACTGCCCCGTGTAACAGACTGGACTCCTGGAGAAGGGGGGTAAGGGCTGTGTTTGTGGTGGGTTGAACGGGATCTTTCACGGTAAGATGGTATTCGGTATCGTTCATGCTTGTAGCACGAGCCTGTGCTACGTTGACGAGTTATTGGTCGAGGGAGCTTGTTTCTCGGCTTTACTTTGGACGTGCGATAACCGTTGCATGAGCGTGAATGTCAAGATGTCAGGCTACGGAGGCCGCGGGGGAGAAGGGTTGTCAGGCTCGGTGAGTCGGGTCTCGTTGCGTAGCCGTTGCATTCATCACATGCCTCTGCAACGTTCCCATCAAGCCTGAAGTCCCTTGGAAGGTCGTTTGGGATCTAATGCAGGTACCCGACCGTTTGTGCGGTCCCTTTCGGGAATACATTTTGGGGGAGCTAAAGTACGATTCTACGGCAAGATCGGGATCGTAAATGTGGGTGAACAGTGAACTGGTGGAAGCCTTGGGAAGGACATGTTTTAGAAGAATAAGCAATGAGCGGCTTTACGACCTCGTACGTTGAGAAAAAAGCAAAACTTTTGCGGTCGATTGCAGGTAGGTATGCCTGTATATGATGCATTGACGTTGACGTTTTGTGGAGAGGCGTTGTGGTTCGGTGTGTGAGACAAGGTCGTGTAAACGGTCGAGACTCGGAGAGGAGTGTTTGGAGAGGATACGAGATGTAGTCTTTCTGTTCCGCGAGATTAGTCTCTCGCGATGGACTCTGTTTGTGGGATGAGGTGTGTTTCGGGTGGTGAGAGACATGCCTAGTCTACCGAGTGATGGAGAACATTACGGATTAATACGCAGCTTTGGACGATTACGGGGTGTCGGCCGAGGACCGGGTGCTGGGTGCCGTTAAAGTTCGCTTGAGAGAGGTTTCGATGCCTTTTGCGTACATGGTGTTTTGGAATACGGGTCGATCTATCGTGTAGTTGTTGATTGTGGCTTTGCAAATTCGAAAACTTGTCTCGGGTTTTCCTTGTGAAACATGAGCCTTCACGACCAAGGGTTCTGAGATACGAGGTAGTATGGCATGATATTCACAGGATATCGTGAACGACATGACACAGGCTCCTGTAGAGATTGTGGCTCTTGATAGTGTTTGACGTTCATGTCGGATGTTGAAAGTTCAAGGGCTTTGGTGTGCTGCTGCGGCAATGCCTGTCCGTAGACTGGGGCGAGACCAAGGTCCCCCGTGAAAACATTCACAGCCTAGAAGCAAATACATACTTGTTTCCTAGAGGGACGATTTGTCTCGGTCTTGCATCTGGGTATAGATGATGGCGGTGGCAGGAACGCCTCAACTTGGCTGTTGAGACTGAATCCCACTGCGGCCAGATGACGAATACCAGTTGTCTCAGCTTAGATTCATAAATCCTCCTCTTGGAATATCCCCTAAATCGTTCGACTCTGGGTGAGGTTCTCAACGGTTGACAACGTTCGTGTCGCTTGGCTCACAGACTGTCTTCCTTGATACAACATGTAGACGGATGTTTCCGGGGCTAGTGGTGGTGATGTTGAATGTCGAGAGTAGGGTATCAAGTTCATGTCGGATCTGGCTGGTACGACAGCATATCCTCCCAAAGAGAAATTGTGTTTACCAGGAAGTGAAATAGCTGTGAAGTTTCCCATGATCACAGACGAGAAATATCGTCGACTTGCCAGCAAAGCATATTGATTATATTGTAGCCGACACTGTGAGTTAGATTCAAGGCTATAAAGATGTATTAATTTCCATTGGACCTTTCAGGGCCCCATTACAACTAACCACAGACTGATCGCAACCCTTCAGAAGGTCTATGTCTCGGCACCTATCATGTCAAAGCGAAGACGTTGGAACAAATCCTGCTCAACAACCATTGCGTTGTGCACGAGAGCATCAGGACACACCTCGATATGTATTACGCAACCATGAACGCAGCAGATGGAATGATCAGACTCGACAGGAAGGAATTCCTGTACGTCGGTAAACATTTTTCTTAGTTCAAGTGTCCACGGATAGGAAAGTCATCCATATCTATGCCACCGTTCTGGAACTTCAAGCTGCCGGAAGGCCGGGCACCGAGATCGTGAGTTTGTATTTCTCGAGACCAAGTCGGGATCTGCCCTCTCCACAGCTATTGGCGTAAACTATGAGGATATGCCATGAGAACTGAGGTTGAAAGATAATTTGAAGATTTATATTTGCTTGTAACGAAGTTACTGGTTTCTATACAACACCAGTTTTCATACGTGAATGTGAACAAAATAATTTCAATTGGGGAACGTTTTGAATCACCACAATCCAACAACCATCCATATCGTACATGTTCGATATCATTCACCAGAAGCCAGAGAATAGCGTTTAGCGCAGCCGTGTCATCGCTTGGTCTATTATAACTAGCTCAATTGTCAATGGGCCAGAGATTGTTGTCAGCGCACTCGGCGACCATCACGACTATGAATTATTCTGCATGCGCTTGAGGCGCTCTTCAGCGGCCCTGGCTCTCCTCTCTCGGTCGAGTTTCATTCGCATCTCCGGTGTGAGGCCCCTGGCTTCTTCCACTCTCTTCTCTTGTGCCGTCTTCGTGGCCGCTATAGCCGCTAGACCGCCAGACTTGGGCTTCCTGCTATCAGCCTTGGGTCCTTCGACCCGTAACCTCTCTTCCTCGGCACGCCTTCTTGCCGTCTCCTGCTCATCCTTCTCCTTTCTATCTCTCTCGTCACGCTTCTCAGCATCTGCCTTGCTAAGAGGTGCCGGTATGCGTGCGGTCTCCCAATCCCACTTATCCTCGCCGAGCTCTGATCGCGCAACCCGGAAGGCGTCTCTTGTTGACCTGTCACCTGCAAGTTCAAACGCAGTCTTGCCGTCTTTGTTGGTGATCAGAGGAGATGCACTACCGCGTGTGATGAGGCCTAGAACTAGAGGCGCAGCATTCTGATGAGCAGCCAAGTGGAGGGGTGTTGGTGAGTGGTGATTCTGGTCTGCCGGCTGAAATTGGAAATCGGGAGATACGTCATTGGTCTTGAGGTAGGATAGTAGGGCTGGAAGTTTCGAGCGCCGGATGAACGCCTGAATCTGTGTGGTATGCAATAATGCAGTCTCCTCTTCCTCTGTAAGCTTTGGCTTCGTAGGCTTCGGAGCGGCGCTCTTCGCAGGTGTGGGCGTCTCGGACTTTGGTTTAATCTCGTCTTCCGGGTTGATTTCTCTGACTTTTAGTCTCGTGAGCTCAATGAAAGATCTCATCAACTCGTTCTGTGTCGCCCTTCGTGTGCTGAACGGGAACCCTCGTATCCTCGAATCGTTGTGTTTCAATATTTGCCCATCGTACGGTCCGAATAGCGTTCTTCGATTCGTCGCCCCCGTTGCTCGAATAAAGAGCAGCTCAGACGTATCAAGAAGCCCCTTCCATTCTTGGAGAAGATTGCGTACGTCGTCCACCAAGGCTTGTTCGTTGTACCGACGGATGCTGGCACCGGCCGAGTGGGCATTTCCCTTGGAGTTATCGTTGGCTGATTGCGAACCACCCTGCTTTCGTCTAGTTGTGTATCGATGGAATGTTTTGTGAGCAAGTACGGTTGCTTCGCGATTCATTGCGCCTGCGGAAGACTTGTTTTGTCGTGGCGGCAATGCTACGACCATGGCGGCGAAGTGGCCACCACCAATCATGCACAAGAAGAAGTGAGGACCTTTGTATGCCGCTGGCGGCGGTGCTGCGCCGTCTTTAGAGACTTTTGGCGCGGCTATTGGGTCCAACTGCTTCTTTCTAACGACTTCCACCAGCTTTGTCTCGTCGCGCAGCTCTTCGGGGCTAAGGATAGCCCTATAGAGGCCAAAGTATGTGTTTGATGGGAGAACTGGTGAGCTGAACCAGATTAGAGGCGGATTGCCCTTCCCCCTGCGTCGTATCGTGTCTTCTTCTCCGTCATTATGATCTGCGGTTGGCGATGCGTACTTGTCGGCGAGCGTCGCCTGCTTCTTCAGCAGTGCTGTGAGTGTGGATTCCTTCTCTTCATCCTCGGACTCTTCCGAGTCTGATCCCGACAGACTCTCGTCAAGGTCCCCGATTAACTTTTCGAATTCATTCTCGGATACTGGCTTTCCGCTGCGCAGCTTCTGCTTCAAGTTGTAGTGGTGCCAATCGGATTTCTGATGGCTTCGCTGGTCGATAACGGTGGGAAAAGTAATTCCGCAAAGGGAGCAGGCTTGTGAGCCGACGAGATCGGAGGAGGCCGTATCTTTCGAGGGAGGCGATGGAGGGGCTTGTTCGGGTATATAGGCGTCGGGCTTCAAGGAGAGTGTAGACAACACTTCTTGGGGAAGATCATAGACTGTGACTGGGTCAGTTGACGATGGCGGGGTAGTAGTTGTAGAGAGGACAAACCGTAGAGGGGTCTCTTGAGAAGATCCGGCGCATTTTTGGCAGCCATTTCGAACTGTATAACAAGCCCTCGCAGCTATTCCAGGTGTAAATTGTAGAAAGAGGGATTGACAAAACAGTGTTGGCCCTCGTTTTGCGCCGTCGCAATGACTTAAAGCTCGGGATGGCGGGGCACCAATATTCAATTGATGACGAAGAGCTCGCTTTCGGGGATGACTCAGCCGGTGAACATGAACTGACGCAAGCCACAGAAGTTCGAACAGGTCACCGCCACAAAGCCCCGCGATGTATGGCTTGACGGGACTCGGTGGGGTCCATCTGATTTGAGGCTGGCAGCCACGTGACGTAACGGAGGAATGAACGAATAGGACAAGCTTGGCGGGGTTGAACAGGGGCCATGGACGAAGCCAGCTGAAGTGACAGTAGGTTGGCGACCATCACGTCACCAAGCGTGGATTAGCTCCGTGGACCATGAGTTTGCCAACACTCCTTGGCTGAAGTGCTTGTTTGGATTTCTTGGCAAACCGCAGAAGCGACTTGTTGCTGCATTATTTGGACTGTCTTACCTGGGCTTACAGGCTTATCTTGTTCCTCCTCTGCGACCTTGTTGCACATTGAAGTCGAGTATCGGTACTTGTACCCTCGTCATCGTCTGTCTGAGGTCTCTTTGTATGGCGCAACGTGCAAGCCGTGTTGGCAGAAACTTGGCCCGCGTCAGTGCATCCCTGGCCAGCTGATGATGTAACTCCACTTAACGTGTGGGAAGCTGCGAGCTGTATCGCGACTCCCAATCTTATGCCTCCTTGCTGCACCTCAACTAGCCTTTGCCAAGACCAGGTAGGACAGGCAAGATGATGGTGCCCGCCTGCTGGATGCAGCTAAGTTAGGTGGTAAGGTACTCGTTCTGTTGCCTCTGGTCTAAGCCACTATCGTCTCCCGATGGTCTCCCCTCACCTCCCCGCCCTGGTGACGGTTCCCTGTCTCTCTTCCTCGTGCGACCTTAGTCGAACTACAAGTAGCCAAGCTATCCCATTCTTAATCCCACTTTGACCTGAATTTATCTCTCCAACTTGAACCGAGCCTCCAAGATCCACCGTCCTAATCCACGATTGAACACCACTACATCTATTCTACCAAGTCAAAACAACCCATCTTTCATCATGGACTTCGTCAAGAACCTTGCTGGAGGCAACAACAACAACAACAACGCGGCCTCTTCCGCTGACCAACCTGAGAAGAAGGAGTCCGGCGGCTTCATGGACAAGCTCAACGGCATGGCTGGCGGTGGCCGCGAGAGCGAGAAGCAGGAAGACGGTCTTGACAAGGGTGCGTAATTACCCTCCATATCTGTAACGCATGATCACAAGACTAACGCCACCCTTAGCTGTCGACTTCGTCCAAGAAAAGGTCCTCGGTCAAGGCCCTCAAGATAACGAGAGCGCCGCTGAGCAGGCCAAAGACGAGCAGATCAGTGATTTCATTCGCGGCCAGTACAAGAACACTACTGGCAAGGAATTCCCCATCGAGGACAAGGACAAAAAGTATGGCCTGTAAATCAATGGAGCCGTCAATCGGGCACCTCATAGAAGAGGAATGCTGCGTTGCGCCCGAGTTCACAAATAAGGCGACCTGAAAATGGCGGCTAGACAGCCTGAACTTGAGGAGTAGCGGTACTCAGCACAACGCATTTGGAAGAGGACCCTGGAATGGGACTCCGGGAATTGTACCTACCTAGTAATACTACGAACTCACGACGTCAACGATTACAATCTATGGGCTCTGTGTTGTGACACAATTCCCTTTTTTCGATTTCGATGCTCCAGATACTACTTGAAGAAAAAGCGAGACTTCGACCGGCTTGCCGTTGGCCTGCCTCGGATGAAGTTAGAATGCGATAGTAGATGAGGCGCAAGAGGTGCCTGCCTGCTGTGAAGCTTGTAGATTCGGGGAAGGATGACCACGGATACCTCGCCTACTCGGAACAAAGCTTTCAAACAAGCACTTGAAGACACTGTCTAACTAAGGTGGGGGCTACAATGCCAGGTACATATGTTCTTCGATGTTACCCTTTGTAGTGGCTCTGCTGTTCCTCGTGGAACAATGGCACCGTCCAAGTGTCACAAAGCCGGCCTTCCACCATCAATGCTCTGAGATGGGGCACCCCCGGTGCCTGACCACGAACATATGATGAGTCTCATCTTGCAAGAGATGCCTTAACAGAATTGTCGGTACTGTATTTCTACGTGGCCTCTGACCCGCCATGTCCAATCTGACAGTCCCTTCAGCGAAAACGAAGACGACGAAGTTCGCGATAGACCAACTTCAAGGCAGGTCCTTTCCGAAATTATCAGCATTTCAACATGTGCTTCACACAGAAGACTATCCACACAGTATGTGCCCATTCCACGGTAGAACTGATCGAGTGCAGAAAGTTTATCGAGAACAAGGACAAGACTGACCGCAATGCTTGCATTGCACCTCTCTGCCAGCACACCCAGGCCTTGGCCACCGTCCTCGGCTTCTGTCAAAACTGCGAGGCGTTCTATAGAGACAGTGACGTTTCCTCCGTCAGCTCTTCGGAACTGCTCGAAAATTACTGGCAGTTCAAGGCTGTAAAGAAATGGCACCACCCCGTCGAACCTGTCATGATCCCCTCCTCAGCCCTTACAGAAACGAGCATGGAGCTATCCTCATCATGTTTCACCTTTGTGCGAAATGAAAGGGAAGTCAGAAAAGATATGGTGATGGCTGCTTCCGTGCAGTCACTCGTCCATGCTCTTGGCGAGCCCATCACACACCCCTCTTGCGATCTGTGCCGAAGAAAACATCGTACAGATGTCTGTCGGATGGCAGTCGGTGGGCAGAGGGCGACCGTTAGTTGGGCCTCACGTCTCGCTAATGCCGAGGACATCTTCAAGACGTACGAATTCTCGCATCAGTTGAGCCATACTAGCAATGCGGAAGACGTGAACCGAGGTGATTATGGAAACGAGTCGGCCTTGTCTTCTGAAACGGTTCAGGCACCACGGCCAGTCGCTTTTATCTCACCAGCGCTTCCTGTTCAGAGCCCTCCTTTGCGTCGCCTGAACATCCACGAGCGCCGCGAGATTGAATTCCAGGAACGGCAAAAACTGTTTGCAGAGCTCGCAGCCAACCATGAGAAGGATATCCAAAGGCTCAGGGAACAAGCAGAGCTTGAGATGAGAGCAGAAGAGGAGTTCCGAAAAGCCATAGCAGCCTCTAGTGATGCTACTGGTGTCACCGCTTCTTCTAGCTCGGTAACCTCGGATCACTTACCTCGTTCACCGTCTTCTTCGGCAGACATCGCGAGTGCCTTTCCCAGCTTTAGTGGTGTTCATTGCCCGTTGATTGACAATGACGAACACGGCAAAGATCCCGATTTGCTACGCACTCTTGACTACGATGAACCTGCTTATAAAGCTCTGACAGGCGGTACCCATGAGATACAGGATGTACTGGAATTACGCCAAGCTGCGGTAGTGAAGCCGGAGAGGAGCGTAACTTTGCACTCATGCTATGGCGAGATAGGTGATATTGAAGAAGAAAACTCGGGCGATCCGGCAAACTGCCATCCTACAGAGGAACGAAGCGACACAATTGATGACCATATTGATCTCTACCTCAAGTATTTTACTGGTGACGACGACTCAGTCAGCAACGTGAGATTGCCAAACATTCCCCCTCTTTCTCCCTTCACAATTGCCGGCCTTAATGCACCAATCGAGAAAGTAGTACAACGTTCTAAACCTCGCCCTAGCCCCGTCATGCTGATGAAAGTGACTGAGTTTTCGCAGCCAAACCACTTCTCTGAGAGCAACGGCCCCGGAAAGGAGAACGGCAAGGGTGAGAACATCGACGGCCCCAGTCATCCGGAATCGTTGACCTCAGTCCCACTCTCAGGACCGGAGATCCGTCAGAGAGCGCCGCCGCGCCGGCCACGTGGACCCATGTATTGCACAGAGCACGCCGGTGAAAGAGACCCAAAGTGTCATGGATGTCAGGCCGGTTGCTGGGTTGAGATTGGCTTGCCGCCCGGCGAACGCGTTAAGGAAGTAGAGCCAAAGCTGATTTAAAATAAAGGGAGCACGACGGAGTACGGACGCAGGTGGGTTGTCGACATTAATGTAAGTGCGCATGCAGATAGCTAAGAAAAACGTTTCAATGAAGCATCCGAAAAATTTCAGTGCTTTTGTGAAGTGGCTCGAACTAGGATGAATCTCGCGATGTGCTTTCACTTGTGTTTCGGCTGATGCGGCATGAGGCACTGCATGCCTGTGGACCATGTACGCACCCGAGCACGCCGGAAAGGCGACCAGATCTCGCTACCCGACTATGACTGCTTTCTGGATGAGAATTGTATCCATTGCTTTCAAAGTTCGCAGAGCCAAAGGTATTGCCGTCGTTCTATCACAAGTTGCTGCTGAGTCACGACTTAGGGTTTACGACGTCAGAGCAAGAGCGGGGACTAAATCTAAAGCCCGAGAGGACTTACAAACTTATTCTTCTTTTGTTCCGACAACTTTACTAATCCTACGGTCTTGCAACACTATTGAGATCCTCCAGTCACATGAATTCAATATAAAGTACGCCCGAAGGTTATGATAACAATGGACGCACTTGGACAAGATCATCGAGATGAACTCAGGGATCGTTCACACAAAGGGACGCGTGCAAATCAACACAAGAACAGCAACGCGCCAGTTGCAGATAGCACTAGCCAGCACCGCACTGCTTGCTTTACGTGCCGCGCAGCTAGACAGAAGTGCGACCGGCAGACTCCTTGGTGAGCTCTCTCTACACACCCAAGCCCATGAGCGAAGTGATCCAAGACTAACGTCGCTTGCAGCTCACGATGCGCCATTCAGGGGAACACTTGCCGCTACCCGCTCAAATCCAATCGAGGTAGGAAGGAAGGAAGCACAAAGTGAGTGAGACTGTTAGGTAGCCATTCAATGGTCTCATGAAGAGGCTGACGGAGAAACAGCAAGCCAGACACCGTTCAAAAGCTGTTGGACCGCATCAACGAGAGTCCTGTTCGGGACCAAGTGATCGCAGCTATAATCAACTCATCTCGAGCTCAGACACATCCTGAATCGTCAGCCCTAGACTCTTTCTCAAGTTTAAGAGACAATGTGCCAACTCATTTGGACGCGCCAGGGACAGAAGAAAATGCTGTTCCTGCTCTTATCGAGCAAAGTGAAGAGTCAGAATGTGATGGGCCGCTGGACTTGACTCGTTCCCCGTGTCCGTGTTCAAAGCTGAAAAGGGAGATTTTCGTTGTGTCTCCCCTTCATATCATGGCAGCTGCTTTTACGAAGAAAGATACAAGTTTTGCAAACCAGAATGTCGAAACAGCCGTGCCACATCTGCCACTCGACGCAGGTGGGCGACGAGGCAACGAGAGCTCGATAAACCAACGGCTGATAGAGTACTTCAGTAAGCCGACATCGGCTCGAACGTTTGTTCTTACAGTCTGTCGTATACTGACTCATTATTGCCTAGCACCTCGTCTGACGCATGATACGGATTGGCAAGTCCTGGCTTCTCAGTCGATCAACAGCACACTGAAGTTGGAGACCACCGCTTGCGACCCTGTAACTGCGCGTCTGGCGGATCAAAACGATGTCTCATTGTACTTTCACCTGTGCGTATGACAGAACCCGTCTTGATGATATACTTACCGAGAAGCCTCACTTCTAGGTTCTTCCAGACGCGCAATCCGCATATAGGGCTTCTAGACCCAGATCTACATACCCCCAAATACGTCCGTCACGCATCCTTTACCCTCTTTTCCGTCATTTGCGCTCTGGGATGTGCTATTTCGACACGTCCACGGGATAGAATTCTGTACCCAACTCTACTCTCCCTGGCAGAAGCGAATCTCGCGTGGTCTATCGCGGTGCCAGTGAGATCACTAGAGACGATTCAAGCAATCCTAGCAATGAAGTATTGGGCACCAACGTACCAGAGACAGGGGGATGATTCCCATTGGCTTCATATTAGTCATGTGAGATCACAAAGAACGAATCCCAAGGAGAACATCATGTGCTGACTTCATCACTCTTATTCCGCAGGCTGTACAACTTGCCAAAGAACTCGGAATCAACAAGCCCTCCACTATTGTTGAGCTTGTCAAAGCTTTGGCCCCCGACGACACTGTTGAGATGAGAGAGCGATTCTCACGCAATCTTGAAAGAACCTGGCTATACGTGTTCATAGCTGACAAGAGCTTCGGTATCGTCATGGGCCGCTCCCCGATTGTGGCTTGGAAAGAGCTCCCGCCTTGTCCATGTCAGTGGTGGCGAAAGTCGATGACAACATCTCTTGATCGTATGATTAGTGGTATCATTGAGATTAGGGTTCAGTTGGTGAGTAGAGATATTTCTTGCTATTGCTATCTCTCCTATCTCTCTCTTTCATCCAGTGTCTGTGTCAACACACCATGTCACAAGGCTGATAGTTGAGTCGAACAGCTGGAGTCCTTAAAGCAGTTGGAGCGTATTAAGAAGACCACTGCGTCTATCTCGAATTGGCATGCAAAGAACTATGATGTTCTTGATCGAACGTGCAAAATCAGGTGCTACGAAAATGACGCGTCGTCTACACCGACGTTGCCTATCCTAGCTTTCTACATGAGACACAGTCTCATGATTCTCAACGCGCAGGCTGCAAGGGAGTTAAAGAGACTCGGGGGGACAATAGCCTCGACTATTACCTCGGTCGATAGCAAGGCGTTTGAAACCGCACATCAACTTCTAGATCTGGTTTTACATGATCAAACGGTCATCGACATTGGATTGGGGTGGCACAACAACCAGTTTGTAATGGTTGCCCACGCCATGACTGAGATTGCCCAAGTAAGTGGTATAATACCATTGTACACTATCCTTGTAGCACCGACTTATACCTCTAGGCTTTGAGTCGAGGAAGTCTATCTTCTATAGATCACGGAGCGGCGGCATCCCAGATCCGGGCCATCTCTACATGGCTTGAAGAGAAAGCGCAGGCGCTTCCAGCTACATCTATAGCCAGTCTCTACTCCGGTTTCTCTCGAATACTGGTTTCCGAGCTAGATGGAGAGACCAGCAACGACACGCAGAGAAGGCAAAATCACACTTCTTACGAGACTCCAGACAGTTTCATGACCGACTGGTCACGGGCTGTTGACGTCACCTCTCTGAACCCAATGGATTGGCTTGATATGAGTTTTCTAGGCAACGAAGACTCGTTTGTTGGCCTCGAGAATGTGGACTTCAACGACCTCGACGATGATGGTGCTCTCCGGTTCCCATGAGTCTTTCACCTGGAAGAAGTTCGGAGAAGGTGAGCTCAGCCATCGACGCCGAAGGCTTGGGCCGGTTGTGGATCCTGGCACCCACAAATTTCAAATCTCTAGAAACCGTAGCTGTTTCTCGAGGCTCTCGACGAGGATAGCAGTGAGGGCCAGCCGTGATCACCATCACCATCGATGGCATCCGTTGGACTCTTCGAATATTAGCAGTCTCACAACCTGGATCTACCACATACGACCATACCCATTGGAAAACTCGGGATCCCGTCCGCTCTCCCATAGATAAGCCAATGAGGGCCGTATTAGTAGTTGGGTCGGTGACGACCAGCGAATACCTGGTGTTGTATGTTTTTGCATTTCTTTTTAGGTAAATGAATCGTCGTGGCCTTGTCGTGGAGGTGGTGATGCGATGTGAAATTTAGGGAATTGGTAACCCTTGCCTAGAAAATTAATCAACTTTTTTTTTATCCGCTAAGCATATAATTAAAGGGGACCGTAAGTACCTTATCTTACTTAGAGAAAAGTATAAAAAGGTCTCGGAACATTTTGCTAATACTAGGATTACTATAACTAATGTCTCTATTGCCACTACTGCTTCCCCTTCTGCCGTTGTCATTCTTGGTCCGATCTCCTTGATGTATGCTTCGTCGAATACTCTAGGCTCTTGGCACAAATACAAACACCAGCAGACGATATTTGGCAATATAAACACGCACTGTATTTGGCTATCTTGTCTGCGACATCATGGTCAACCTCGAGCTTTTCGCCGACGCTATGCATGATAAGTGGAAAGAGTATCCGCAAAGTGCGGGAACTCAAGAACATCATCACGGGAGGCCCTGTGAAGAGGTTTGACCATGAATGAAACTGGGATCTGGAACCACCGCGAGCCAGGCCGGTACAGCGGCAGCCTCAGACACGGCCACCCAGAGTGTGCTAGAAGACCAACCTTCATGGTCTCGAGATGAGAAAAGTCAAATCGGATTGATAGCTCGATGGCTCACCTTACATAGCCACCTCGCATGCAGCGTCCAGATCGAAAGTCTCTTACCTATTCCAACCACACAAGCACTATCAGAACAAACCTGACATGTTTACGGATATTCCACATATCTGGCCTTTCATTCCACGATAGTCGTATACGCCCATGCAGGAAGATTTATCTTCTCACATCGATATCTTCGTCGCCGAAATAACCCAAATCTTGGTCTCCCACACCATGTCTTCTTCACCAGTCGACAAGAAGCAATTGGATATAAGATGGGATAACCTGCCCAGAGAAATTCGACTTCTTATCTTACAAAAAGTGATGCAGGATGATTGCCCACTAGCTCCCCTGGCCACGGTGTCTCAAGAATGGCAAACAGGCATCGAGCGACACAACTTTGGTCGAATCCGATTCACACCGTCACGCCTTGCCAATTTTCTTGCCATGGTCCAAAGAAACCGAACTCTCGTCTGCTACATCTGGTTCTGCTTGGAACTCGACGAGTACGACTGCACCACGTGCGCCCTTTCGCCTGGAAGAACGATTTCAGATGAGTTTGAAGAGGCATTTGCGATCAGTGGCACAGATAAATGTCCCATCACCGCGTCATTCCAAAACCTTTTTCTCGATTCTCAGCAAATGGGAACCTCACGGCGATTTGACACTCGATATTAGTATATACAGTATCAGTATGATCATCTGATATATCCGAAGGAGTATCGGGGGAAAACGACTCAGAACATTGGTTCCCATATCTGACCTTTTCCCCCGATACTCCTTCGGATATACCAGATGATCATACTGTCGAGAAGGCGATGGCAAATCGAGACTAGCACGACCCTGATCATGGCTGGTTACATGGCTCTCGACACCTCGTCTCACCTCCATGGGGCCTTAGGAAACTGTTCCATCTGATTATGGAGCAGGGTCCGTTCGACAGTGACGATGAAGAGCTCGAGTGGTGGGACAAGCTCCCATTAGTTCTAGCCGTGACCAGTCTACTTCTCCGACAACAGAGCCGCTGGAGGTGGAAACCAGAGTCACTGGCACACATGTTTTCCCGGCTTCCCAGAGTCCAGGAAGTCCACTACGAACCGTGGTCGGGACTGGGAAAATCCGACGCAGAATTCAACAGACAAATGTGAGTTATTACTGCACAACTCTCCCTGGTGAGATCTTAACGTTATCGCTCTCTTTGATTTGCGAAGTTCAGTGACCATGTATTGATAATTATCAATTTCCCCGTGATTTAGATTACCAAATTCTTTTAGACTCTATCCGACGTTCCAACCATAGCCTCAAACGACTCGTCATCTTCGAGAACTTCAACCAACAGTACCCAGCCAATATGCGAAGACGCGAATTCCTCGGGGGAGAAGATGTCGGAACACACGCCCTTCGCAAGCCTATCCGAGATATCGGTCAGATAATCGCGCTCACCAGCCTCCGCCTCGAACATCCTGCAGCATCCTACATCGCAGACGCCAGCCACTTCTTCGAGATCCGTCTCGACTGGGCGTGGCCGAACCTGAAATCGCTTGCTCTCACTGCAAAAGCACTCACGCCTCATGAAGACTCAAACGAGATTGAAGCCCTACTACTGGCAGCGGCGGCAGCAGCTAATAATATGCCCCAGTTAGAAACACTGGAGATTTGGAACGGGCGAAAGGGGTTGGCAGGGCTACTCAGGTATCAAGCTTTCCGTCCCAAGCGGGAAGCTGTTCATCTTTGGAGAGGCACGTGGAAGTTGGCCATGGACTCATCCGTAATCCACGCCTGGGACACTGTAACGCATCAGTATGATATTTTGAGACTCAGGGTATCTGAGGAGAAGCTGAATGAAGCTGATATCAAGTCTCACGGGGATGCAATCCATCACTTGAGGCTTTCGAGCCGGGTCATTCGGCCTGTCTCGTTGCAGCAGATCCAAATAGAACAGAAAGACTTGGAAGGCGTAGCTACAGTTGAGTAGGAGCAGAAATATGAGTTACGAAAAAAATACTTGGCACTCGAGTAATGGGAGGCAGCGGAACTTAAGTTGAGGAGAAGAAAGCTAGGTTGAATGTCAAACGAAACGGCTTATGCGCAGCAGCGTGCGAACTGCATCATTTAGATTTCAGACAGGAAGAGAATTAAGAGTGATACTATGACATTGAGGTTCTTCTAGCCCACACTGCCCTATGAATCCCCAGCACCATTAACATTTCGAACGCGCGAGGCCGCTGTCATCCCGTCGTCATCCAGACCAACAAGTGTCTACCATGACCTCGAATCAGTACACCCTAATTACTAAGTCAACTATCCAAAGTCTTCAGTGCAGTCTCCCCATCTCATAAACATATTAAATCCTCAAAAGCGACAACCAAAGGCAAGAGCGATTTTCAGGACTGCGACTTGGCCCAATGATCAAATAGACTCAAGCCACGAGAAGATATCTCCATCGAGCATAAGAGACCGAACCGGAAATGATAGACAACTTCGAACAAGTATGTATTCGAGTTATTCCATCTCCTCGGATGACATGAAGTGTAGCAGCCCCATGGCGACATCGATGATACTGAAATACTTATCTACTTTACTCCGCGACTCATCCACAGATCGTTCCATGGGACCAGGAACTTCTCTGGGCATATTCAATACTTCAATACAAGCGAGATTGCCTGAGCATCGATGAGCCGCGCTGCGCGCAAGGATCACAGAGACTCACCAACTTGTCTCATTCCAACATCATCCGATTTGCAAGCCAACTACTCTCATTTGCCATAATTCGACTCTGTCTCTGCAAACTTCAAGGTACAGGAGAGACACAACCGCCTGGTTCATAATGCTATCTGTATCGGCTACAAAAACCAAATTCATGCTTCACCGTGCAATTCCAAAAAAATCGCAAAACCTCAAGAGAGTACTCGAACCCTCGCAATCGCCAAGGCTGGAGATCTACCCCAGATCAGCGATAGTCATGTGATACAGGTATTCGTACCACAGTACTCAATTTCGATCTACAGTTGTGCTGTAAAGATTTGGATTAGGGTTTGGGCAACCACACATGTGATGCGACTTCACCTTCGGCGAAAACGCATCATGATCTACGTGAGATCCCGATTCACGCTCACGGCCCATGGACTCCGACTCGTCACCGCCTCGAAACCTTGCGAGATCGACTTCTGAACAATTCGATGAAAGCTCGAGGGGGGAGTCTCCGCCTCTAAGAGTGGACCGACGGGAACGCTCCCAGGCTGTAGGAGCTTCTTGACGTCATGCCCCGATACTAAGTCTTGACATATCGTGGAATGTTTCGCAAGTGATGCTAGGCAAGGTTTACGTGGCGACATTTACCAGTACCGAAACTCGTTAATTGATGAAAGGGTCACATTCTGAAAATCAACATGTGAGCCGCGCGGTGTCAGAGCTGCCAAAAGGGCTCGAGCCAAGCCCGACAAGTCAGATCTGTGGGCGGGAACGAGCGTTGTAAGGTTGTAGACAAGTAGATCGCCGTTGCCATGCTCCTGTTCCACTCGTGCGAGGAGATACTAGACCCGACCACTCCGACTACAAACTAGGCAGAAACCCTGAGGGAAAAAGAGGCAGAAACACTTGTTAATCTGTTTTGATGCTTGCTTTTTGCCACCGGGCAATCCGCATCTACAGTTTTCGTGGTCTGCGATTGATCGAGTGAGGGAATACCCGAGCCTGGAAAGAGATCAGCAAAGCTCGGGGATCGTTACCCCTGAGGCTCCATAACATTCAATCGTTGTCGTGCTGTTCCTCTTTTGAGGAGAAGGGAGGGGGGATCATCTTGGAGTCTCCGGACTGCCCAAAGCACATGACTCCCTCTGGCCCACAACACGAGCAGCATGAACTTAGGCCCCTTCCCAGGCTGCAGTATCTGTAAATCGCGACCCATTCAGGAGATGCGAATTTTAGCGAGTGAAAGAGATCAAGATAACAACACCGTATACGAAAGATTCTTGACGCCTCGCGTATGTTCGCTGAGATGGGCCTAGAGTTTAGATCACCTCGCGTTGATAGAGGGTTGAACGTTACGCGGTAAAGCGGCACATTGCAACCCTTCAAGGCTGTAAATAGAGTTGTGGAAGGTACTGAACACCCGATAGTCTCGGAGGAAAGCGCGATTCCTCGCATACGATCTCAGCTGGTCCCTTGTCCTTGGCGGGACTGTTCCTTGGGAGCTGAATGACAGTTTCCCAGCGTTTCATCGACCTGCTTTAGGAAGAAGGCGTCTCCTTCGGAAATGAAGCTCTCATGCCCGTGTGTCTGTCAACCACCAAGGTTGCGTCAATGCGGCCCAAGAATCAAGACGGGCGGCCTCTGCCACGGCAGGAACCTCAACGCGATGGCAGAGGCCGTCGAAACCTAGAGACGTCGCGGAAGCTGTGCGGAACCCGTAGCGCGGCGTCGTAGGCATGAGCGTTCTGTATTCGCCCTTGAGAAGAGTCTGCGGGGAATGGCCCTTGCCGCAGATCTCGGAGAACAAGACGATCAAGTGGGCTGTGTGTTGCGATGGAGTCGTCGATATTGACCTCGCCACGTTGTCAAGTCGTGATAGCGTCGACTGGTCCCGACGCGGTGATGAAACCTCTGCAGACAACGGGCCCTAAATCTGCGCGTTCCTGAAATAGGGCATCTGTTCGCGCCTTAGCTTGAAGGAAACTCGGTTTCTGGGACCATGATGGGATGGCAGAGGCCATGTTCCGTGGACCGTGAGTCTAGAGCATAGACAGTCCGTCTGAGCTCCATTGCGCTCGGTGACCGGGACTCGATGGGTAGCTCAGCCTCGGAAATGGAAACCCGCACCGTCTAGACGAAAAACAGAAAATTCCCCGCCGCGAGTTGAAGACAAGAACTTGGATGTACGGATTGATAGGAGCGCATAGCTGGAGGCGTCTTCCACCAAGCCATTGTCCAAGCCATTGTCTTTTCTGTGCCGTCGTTGAAATGGGGAAAACACAGTTATCAAGTAACCGGCGGCCGATATGGCGTCCTTCTACGAGCAGCCAGCGTTGTGCCTGCCACGCCTGTGTGCTGTGGTTGCGGGTGTGGTTGTCGTTGTCGTTGGATACAAGTGTAATTAGCGCGTATCCAACGTATGTTCTTGAGAACCCAACCAGTGGCGTCAAGTGGGCTTCCAAGCCTACCAGACAGGCAAAGACCATGGTTGGTCAATGTGCGGGAAGAGGTCATGTTTGAAAGGCGCTGGCGGGTTGTGTGACTCGTAGAGTTCATGAGGCGTCGCGAGGTGTCCGAATCGAGCGAAGCCGAGCCGGGTTCGGGCGTGTTGCTTGCATGCCGGTGTGCCCATCCCCGTTCGGAGTTGGCGGCCACGCCCTCGGGATTAGCTGCAGGGCCAATTTCCTCAAACGGGCATACACGGGCCGCATAGTGAGCAGAGGGGCGTTGGTCTTGCTCGTAGCCTCGTGTTTGAGCAGCCCGTCCCGTTGTTGAAACATACGCACTGGCATTAACTCTGGACTAAGCCTTTTCAAGGCCTGCGTTTTCCCGAAGAAGTCATCAGAGGAGCCAAGCCTGCGGGTTGGAGAATTGACTTCGATTGCGTTGCCGCTGCGGAAGCTGGTACTGTGTATGCTAGATACCAACCAAAGAGGAAGCATGCTGGCTGGTGCTAATATGGCAGTCCACCGTTCTTTTTCCTTTGAAAATAAGAAGATATCAGGCCAACCTGATGACAGAAGACGATGGTGTTAGTCTTTCTGTGGTGAGGAGAAATCCGTATCGTAGTAGTATGCAAGTAGTTCATCGTAAGTGGGTGAGTGCGTCCGAGACCGCCAGGTAGTGATGAGAGTCATCGACAGTGACGGAGCAGAAAAACGCACGAGGATAGCACGGAGGATGGGACAACTTGAGAGACACTCGGTCGGCTTCTTATCGGGCTCAGAACAGCGTGGATGGATGGAAACAAGCGGGTACTGTCACGGCGAAGTGATGCATATTGCCGGACGCTGTACGGAGTACGTGGTGGCCTATCCGTATGTACTATCACAGTCAATTAGATACACTGGAGAGAGACACGAACCACGGAAGCCAGGGCCCAACAGAGGCATTCCGGGTCTCTGGCGCCATCAAGCAAGCAGACTGCTAGATGAGTCGGTTATGGGTTCCATCAGATCATCGACCAGCGCAGACAATCAAGGTCAGACGTTGCAGAAGCCGGCTCCGACGCAGCAGTCAAGGTCTCGGCAAGGGAGGATCGTCAAAAGATCATTTGATGTGCTGACAGCGGTTGGACGGATCTCAGAGGCACGAGCTTGTCGAGGCACCAACAGCTGCGGCTAAACCGTTTGTGAGCGCCGCCAGCCCACAGGCTCATCAAACATGGCCTCTCTGATTGAGTGCTCTCAGACCCTCAAAGTCTGCGCGTCGGCCCCATCCCCTTTTTGTTTATTTTTTCTCTCTCATTTTGTGCACCGCCGAGCCCGCCGCGGTCAGAATTTGGCCCCTCTCGATTCGGATCCTCCAGGTTCGTCTTGGATTGTTGGTGGCCTCGAGTCTTGGGCCGTGCCCTCTTTTGTTATTTCCATGCGTATTTTCTCGGTTTAACTTCCAAAGGGGAAAAGGGGTGTTTGTCATTGGCGCTAATCATCATGGTCAAATGTAGCGATTTGGAGACTTTTGTGCCCAGACATAAGCTGTCCCCAAGGTGGTTGGGCTTCTCAAGCCAGCGTGCCGTACAAGACGCGCCGGGCCTTGCGGGAGCTGAGCCAGTCTCGCCGAAGGGCCGTTGCTGGCGGCTCCAGTCTGTCGAAGAAGGCGGCCCGGCGGATAGAGCCCGAATAGGGGTTGGTGGAGTATCTCGACTTTCGCGTTCATACAAGTAATGAGTAATCAGTGAACGACCCGGTGATAGGGTTCGCATCCAGCAAGGCGCGAGGAGGAGGGTGGACGACGATGGCGTCTGTGGGGGATTTTCATGGCGTCCCGCAATATCAGCAGTATGAAGCGCCCACGGACGATGTTGGCAAGCTGTCTTCGTACTCGTAAGGTACAGAGTAGTGCACAGAGTGTTCGTACTTTGCAGGGTCCCCATCCATCCGTAGAGTTGCAAACAAGCTTGTGTGGCTTTTTCGGACCCCTAACATGCTGAGAGCCCGAGACACCTTACTTTCGCGATGGACCGATTTGGAGAGTTTGATATTTGTCCCTTGAGCGCTGGAACTGGTGCGTTTGTCCCGTCGGAGAAGAGCAGACATTCCAATATTGCCCACTCGGCAGCGGGACCCTGGTGCTCGGCTTCATTCGTAAGGGCCCCCATGCTCTTTTGCGAGCGAGTGCTGGGATGACAATGAATCGGCCTGGTTGGTTCGTCAGGCAAAGGGCTTCACAGAGGTGTCCGCACCGTGGACGGAGCTTTGCCGGGCATTGGAACTTGGCGCCGTTTTGCGTTGTGCACCTCTGCGGGTTTGACATGATGTATGTAGTATGATGTATCTGTATGCCAGGGCAAAATTCGGATGAAATCAGCCCAGTCATCTGGTTTTCATGCGTCACCCGATGAATAGTATGTCTATTGCGAGTTTGGCAAGAAGAAAACGAACAAACGTCCCAAAGGGGAAATGCATTTGAAACATGCCGGGATCAATGGTGAGGAGTGAAGACGAGAAGCCGAAAGGACAAGGGGGTTCGAGATGTGCTGCAGGAGGTTGAGCGGTTCGTCTGAAGAGGCGAGGTCAACCGGGGGCTTGTAGGCAGTAGTGCTCCCGTGTGGATGGAAATATTATCAGGGAAGAAGCGCAGCGACGTGGAGGCGAATCGCACCTGCATCGAGACGCGTACCCAAGGTACAAAGTACATGCTCCGTCTTTCACAGGTTCCATACACATAGGTACCTCCCGAAGTATCCCTACGCCGTATTGCTCTTGGTGGCCATCTGTGGCTGGACATGGATTGGACGGCAACGGCACAGGCGCAGTGGAGGGCGGAGGCAGGCATAACGGGGCGGCGCTTCGGATCCGACCAGCTGGGCGAGCGCCCGCCCACAAGACCCGGTCAGTAGGCTGTAGCGTACCTACCTAAGGTAAGGAGAGAAAAAGCAGGGGACCTTCCATTCACCTTCCGCCAATAGCCCACACCTTACCGTCTTCGCTCCTGCTTCTCCCATCCTTGACCAACCACGCCTACCTCACCTGAAGGCAGGCAAGGTGCGAATAAGGTCCATCGACATAACCCGTCGCCGAGCCTCGCGATGCCGACAGCTAAGGTAATCGCAGTTTGCCCGGACCACACCTTACCTGAACATACTTTCTACTTTGTATTCGTAGTCGTACTCGCCTTGCGAGTCACTAGGTACGGTACCTTTCCTGTGTCACTTCTCTCAATAGGTACGAACACCTTCAGCGAGTAAAGAGGAGCCCTCCTATCTGCCCGTGGTACGGCTGGCTCAGGCACCATCAGCATTCCCCTTGCCACTCTTAAAAATTGTCAGCAACGAACCAAACAAGCGACATCAGATAGCGCAAACGTTGTTGGTCGAGCCTCGCACTTGGGCAAGCCCCAATATGCCCCATCAGGGCCATACGGGGCCGCGGGCGAGAAATGTCCCAATGTTTGCACCATGGTGTTGCCACTGGCTGTCTGTGCATCGCGTCACTCGACATCTCCCCAAGGCCCAAGGGGGTACGAGGTTGCGAACTATGGAGCGCGGACTGCGGACCCTGATCATTCATGTGAGACTCGAGTCATCTGCCACTTTGGCGACAGGACTCAATACGTGCGTACGCAGGACACACGATGTGCCTGCATATCCTATCCACTTTGCATGGCATCGTCTCAACATAGTATTCTAAAAAGATACACTGGTAACTGCAGTGCGTGAAAAGGGAAGAGCCCAATCCAATTGGAACATGACAGCGACGGTAGAGAGAAAGGCCAGTAGAGGCAGTCTCGACCCTCAGAGTAGCAAGCAAAATGCCTAGTCTGGTATCCAGAAAATAGTGGAAGAGAGGAACCGACAAAAGGGCACAGAGATCCATGGATCCATACAGAGGGGTCCGTAACGGGGCCCTCAGTCCTTAGGCGGCTTTCCGAGGGACCAACTGCAAGGTGCGGATACAAGCGCGGGCGGATCGCGCAGCGAACGCGCTCAGCAGACTTGAGCGATTCCATTGCAAGCCTGGTTGCCGTGAGATGGCAGGACATGACACATGAGGGCGGCGCGGTGTGGGGCACCAACGCTTTCGATAGAGAACCAGAGTCTGAAAGTGTGAATGTCTGAATGTGTCCATCTGTGTGTACGTGCGTGACCTAAAGAGGAATGGATTTTCCCAGAGTTCGGCTGATAGCATTGATGGTTCGATGTCAAAGTCGACGCTCGTTGCCGTCATCACGAACTTGCTGTACAAAGTGAATGTATGCGCAGCCCAAGACGTGTGGTTGGTGCCAGATATGTTGATGCTAATTCGAGAGATGTTGGCTTCGTGGGCGTGTTGGGGGAGATTGCGCGCGCCATTGAACCAAGAGTCCAGCATGGCTTGCTTGGTCGACTGGGTGGTTGTTTCCTCGCGTTCGGCCCTCTTCTTCTTCGTGTCTTCTATTCTCGATTGTGTATTCCACACCACGTAGGCCGTGCCTAGCCCAGGTTTCCGGATCTAGTTGGATGCTCCAAGTAGAGTAGTGGGTTGAGGGTATACGTAAGGTATGGTTGACGGGAGTTGAAGGTCCAAAAAAAGACGAGACGAGCCGATGAGAAGAGCCGGTTCCTGGCAACGAATTGAATGGTACCGTCCCGTCCGCGTCCACTTCCCATCCAACGTCGACAATCACATTCACATTTCACACCCAGTGTCCACTACTCCGTGCCTTAGTCTCTTTTGGACCATGACCAAGGTCCTCCCCACGCCCGCGTCTCTGCCAACTTCCAAGCGCGACGTGATAATGTGAGACGCGCCGCTAGCTCCGATCGGGAGCTGATGTGCCGCTGGGAGATTCATGTAAGAAGCACGATGAGGCAGACGTCGGCGAAGCTGCTGTGAGCTAGCAACGGCGACGCAGGTCCCTCAGTAGAAAAGGGACGTCGAGGTGGTAATGTAGCAGAAGGGGTTGGCGCAACTTGCAAGGCGTGGTACGACGAGAGACATTATCCTCTATTGAGGCAAAAGATAGTCGGCCAGTGCGTATCGTATTGGATCTTGTGTCCCGTATCAGCAAGAGTCGGTGACCACTGGCCAAAAGAAAGGAAACATGTATCCTTCGCAAGGTACAAATACATTGTTGGCGACTCTTGCGCTCTGTACCCGTACTTTGTATGCGTAATCTGTACCTTAGCTTGGGCAAGTCTCAAATGGACGACGGGCTGACGTATTCGTGGTTGCACACAGCAGTGTTGAAACGTCTCTGAGGGAAGCTGTCGCCGTAGATGGCCCCGCCGCAGAGGTTATGGCAAGTTGCATGTGAGGGACCCGTGAGCCTCTGATGTACTGTGTATTCGTATGTATTCGTAGGTTTGTGTCATGTCTTGCTCTTTGGAGGTTGGAGGCTTTTGGCTCTTTGGGTCAATAATCATGGTGAACAACTCTCCGTCCAATCAAACTCACCATCCAATCAGACCCAAGTTTGTGGCTAATTGTTTCCCCTCATCCTTCCCATCCTTATCCCGTCATGTTATTAAAGCTGGCTCAAATCGGCAATGGGCCCCTGACACTGACCCCTGTCGCTTCTTGTGCCTCCCCTTGCACATCATCTCATGGTCTCCGAAGCTCACTGGGTGATCCCTGCCATGCATTTGGGCGGGACTGCGGGTGCCTGAGCAAAGGGCGACGGCGGAGAGAAGAAGGGTCACTGGGCGTCTTTTGCACTGTACAGACAGTAAGTGCCAGGTCGTTGTGAGGCGACTCAGAGCGAGAAGAAGCTCTTTCAAGCATGGCCGCTTGGCTCCTTGGCCCCAAAACCACGAACAAATGCACCCGTTCCTCCATGGAGAGGAAGAAGAGGCCCCTATTCATCGCGAACAGACGCAGGAGTCTGGGGCCAGGAACAACCTCTAGGCACGCAGCCTGCCATCCCATCCATTCCCATGCCATTGAGCACACTGGCTGCATAGGTAGACAGGCACCTGGCACTTCAGTACAGGTATTGGTGCAGTGCTGTGAAATGTGCTGCAGTAGCTGCTGCTGCCAGCACCTCCGCGGCCCACGGGATTGCCTGCTTCTCTCTCTCTCTGCTCTTGTTTCGAAACGCTGGGCCGCCCCGTGGCGTATCGGTGAGCAGTCCTGAATTTGTTTCAGGTGATAACCTGGCCAATCATGGCAAGGCAATCGTCAACGTCCGAGTAGGCTCTGGTGAAATCTCTTGATCTGGCCAGTTTATTCGCGGCTGTCTGTGAAGCATCGGACAGGCCAGACACTCGCAGTGTGGCATATACACACACAGTCGTTCCTCTGGCCCCCGCGCTGCTGGGCCTGATGCTGCGCCATCATCGTTCAGCTGTGCAGCATCGGCACTGGCGCAGCGGTCCTGAGTAGTGTCGATGAAGAAGCCAGGGTCGACACGGCGGGTGGAGGAGAAGTATTGGAAGAAACTGGACTAAAAGAGAAGGGGCAGAAAAGGTACCCCAAACAATACTTCGTAGACAACATCCGTATCCGTCGGTCAGAAAGAATAAGGAAAAAAAAAAAGGAGTAGGGGAGGGGCTGGTAATTTGCCGTTGGGAAGGAGCCCGTTACCCGACGATGCAGCGTTCATTGCGCCACCATGGACAACCTAAATTCATTGCGGATGAGATGGAAGAAAAGCATCGGCCGACGTAAACGTGGGAGAGCAAAGGAAAATGGCGGCAGAATTGTGACCCTATACCCTATTGGCCTCTGGCGCGGAGTGCACGATGCCTCCATCATGTCCCTTTGGCATTAGCCTCGATGGAAAAGCGGGGAGAGGGGGGTGTCGAGACATCAAGACTCAAGACGGGTACAGAGTATGAGTACCTACCTACCTCACTTTACCTAACGCTTCTTACCTTATGTAAGCCCGTTTCCCAGCTTTCACAAGTCATTCGATGCTGCTGAGGTGCCATTGCCAACCACCGACACCGCGAATGCAAAAAGGCGGCTGCGCGGGAGTTGCAACTTTGCAGCTTGCCATCATTACCCCTTGCTCAACCCTTGCCTTCCATACGCTGCCCGTTTTTTCTTCTTCCATTGCACCTCTCGCTTGTCTCTCGCTTGCTTCCTAGCGCGTGCCTCTAGCGGTTGGAGGCTGGAGCAGTTTGACGGGATATTTGCGCGTACGGAGCAAGGTAAAAGACGTCGTAAGGTGCGGACGTCGGCAAGCCATACGTACCTTGCCGATTTATTGACAGCGGGCAGCAGAATTAGACCTTGATCCGCTGCTTGCATTCATTGATTGCTTCACTTTGAGAGCCAGTAAGAAGTGTGCCCAATGGCAGTCACAATCTGTTGCATGTTGCTGTTGAATCAATCAGCTGAGAAACGGTAACCCCGCGCAGTCACGACTCACGTTTGTGACTTGAATTGTCATCGTGTGATGAATTCCAACTTGAAGGCAATTGAATATCTTGGGACCGAACCTTCCTCAAGTTGATTGACATGCCAAACTAAGGTGCCTTAGCTTGAGGTAAGATGATAAGGTAGGTACGGAGACCTAGGTAAGGTACCTTGGGGAACCTTACCTAAGCACGTGCTAAGGTGACTTGGACCCAAGGTTCCAAGGTGAGATTGGCTCGAGCTTTGACGTGCCGACTTGATTAATTTTTTATGATCATCTTATCCCCCCATTTCTCCGTACCCCCGTTCCTTTCTCTGACCTTGTCGGTCATGATCCCGGTCGCGTCTCTTGGGCCTAGGTAGATCCCTCGGCTCACTTTCCCATTGTCCATTGTTTCTCTTCTTCGTCGCCTTTTCTTTCGCTCCCGTTCCCGTCCCTATTCCTTGCATTCCATTCCCTCTGGCTCCCACGGCCCAACTCTTCGTAGGTCCCGTCCCATTGCATCACATCATCACTCACATCCCCTGCTCAGCTCCCTCCACCCCGTTCACATCTTTTCTCCTTCTTCCTCATTGGCTTTAGTGCTGTTTGCTGCACCTCTCGCCCCCATAAACACAGCGGACTGATGGATAAAGCATCCAGGTGCCCAACAGCCTCCTACTACAAGTATGGCCCGGATGTGCTTGGATTCTACACGGATACTGCGAAGAGGATGAGATGAATCTAGTCCCCTGATCCCAGCGAGGCTGAACTGTCTCTTTAACCCTTCGGACCATTCTTGGTTTCTGATGTTCGTCCCTACTATTCCCGTCTGGTCTCTCGATTGATCCTCTCTGGACAAACACACGTTCGTCCAGTGATAAGCCAACAGCCTGCCGCTTTTTCGCTCACACCCCTGCCCCTCCCCTCCACTCCAAGACAAGACAAAAAAAAAATCAACTAGCCTAAGAATGGGCTGAACCGGGCGTGTTCAGATTAAGTGAGAGAATCCATCGTCTCAATGGCCGCATCAAACGCGCGACACTCACTGTCTATTTCATGGCGATGGTGTAGAGTTTGAGCCGAGCGCGCCGTTGGTGGACAAGATGTTGGCCTGCAGTCGGTAAACGATGACGCGCTGAGAGGTTCGTTCAATGGCGGGATCGACCCTGCTCCATGCTCAGGTCCTCTGACCACAGTACAATTCAGTTGCGAACTTGCGAGATGTAAGGTACTTCGTACCCCCCTAGTTCCCCCCCTTGTTTCTACGCCCCCCTCTACTTTCAAGACCTGCACAGACGGAGCATCACAGCACTTTACCTGCTTCAACGCCTTACGGGCCTTGCGTTCCAAAGCCAGCCCGTCGTCCAGAAGAAGTGAAACATACCCGTTGGAGCTGCCAGCGGGCACAGCCAGCGGGAATTGTGCTCTACGAACGGACTGGTCAGGCCGGAACACACTTCTCATATGGGGGCGGCGTCTCTGTACCATTTTTGTCACGGAGTATCTCGGAGAAAGGTGCCCTCTGCACAGCAACGGCCCCCGTGCCTTGTGAAGATGCGAAAGAGGGACGCGCACTGGGGACAGGAAATCAACAGGGGATAGGAAAATCTCTGTTCTTTTCTCTGCGTCTTCCACACAGTGTTGCTTGCTGTCATCATCTGTGTGCCGCATGGGCTTTCTGGGGCTCAAACATCGGACGGGATTGACAAGTGCCATTAGGGGGCATCCGATTCCAAGCAGTACTGCAACAGTAACTTCAAAGTTCAGACTGCCTTTCCACCGTGTGGTGTGTCTGCCTGCATATGCAGAGAGCGGCTTCGTACTTCACAGACACTGGAAGCGCACACGCAAAATGCACGCACACAACCCGGCTCGAAAACATGGCACGTAGCCGCTCCACCTCACTCGGCGAATCTTTCTCTTGCAGTCTCCTGTCCTACCGATACCCTCATCTTTGGTGTTTTAGAGCCCGTATACAGATTTTGGGACCGCCCAATCACCAATCTGACTAGTTAACCACCATCGAATAAGATAAGGTAGATGGATGGATGAGCCAGATCCCGTTCCAATCGTCAGACGAGTCCTGGAACATTACATAAGATACACTCAGCTTGGGAGAAGTATTCGTAAGGTGAGGTAAGGTACCTATCCTCAGAGGAAGCAGGGGAGGCGTCGTGAGGTACGGAGTAGACACTTAGTGACTGTACATACGCAGTACAGAGAGAACAGGGCAGCAAGAGAAGAACAAGAAGCACACCAGAATCAATACGCAACGTACGAGCAGGGATCATTCCGACTGCTGTATGAACGAAGTACTCCGTACTTTACCTTACCTTACTCTCTGCGCAGTACACAAAGTACATACAGTACCTTACCCTCCTTACCTTCCCTCCTACCTTAGGTACCTTACTCAAACTCCCGCGACCCTAGCACCTGCTCTTTTTATTTTATTTTTATTTTATTTTTCCAATTCGTTTCCCTCCCTCTGTTTCCATCTCATCGCTCCTCCTTCACCCCCTTCCCTTCCCTTCCTTCCCCTCCCCTCCCGCTTTTCCTCGCGCCTCGTTCCTAGCAGCAACCTTGTTGCTCACTCTCCGCACGCCTCACACTTATCCAATCCCACGCCTCCTCCTTCTTCTTGTTCGTTCGTTTTCTTCTCCTCCAAGGTACCCGGCCCCTTAGCTCTTCCCTCTCGCTCCATCTCTCCGCGCTAGGTCCCTGACTAACTCGCCCAAGCTTCCGTGCTGGGCTTTGGCTCTGATTCTTGCTCTTGTTCCTGCTCTTGCT